ATATATATGCATCTATCACATGCAATGAGATATCTGGAACACTATGAATCTCATGCTAATGGACATTTATCAGGGTGGTGAGATCTGAGATGGTTTTAGCTCCCAACTTTTTACTTTGAATTACTAGAATTTTTTGTAATGAACTTGTATCATTTTTAGAAGAATAAAGTCCTTTTGAAATAAGATGATTAGAGTCAAAGATCTCCAAAGATCTTCAAGCTCTAATAGTTTTAATAGATTTAATATTCCATGAAGCAAATGCATATCCATAATTCAAAGGCTCCACATTCTTTTTTAAAAAACAATAATATCTCACTAAGTCATCTGAGTCTCCTTTGATCACTGATCTTTGTTGAGGCTCAAGGCCTGTTAGAAAAGCACTAGATGACTTCAAATAACTTTAGAGGACAGTGTGTTCTCATTAACCAAAAGCAATTTTTTTAACACAAATGGAAATTTTAAAAATGGGAAGCATGCTATCTAATTAATCTAAGAAAAATGAAAAAACATTAACTTACACATAGCTTTTTGTTTGTTTGGGATTTTTTTGAAACAGGGTCTCGCACTCGGGGCTGGAGTGCAACGGCGCAATTTCAGCTCACTGCAACCTCTGCCTCCCGGGTTCAAGCAGTTCTCCTGCCTCAGCCTCCTGAGTAGCTGGGATTACAGGCTCCCGCTACCACACCTGGCTATTTTTTGTATTTCCAGTAGAGACAACGTTTCGCTAAGTTGGTTAGGCTCATCTGGAAATCCTGACCTCGTGATCCACTGCCTGGCTAATATTTTTTGTATTTTTAGTAGAGACGAGGTTTCACTAAGTTGGCCAGACTGGTCTCGAACTCCCGACCTCGTGATCCACTGCACCCGGCCCACATAAAGTAGTTTTAATATTTAGATGTAATTATGGTAAACTGTATACTTAAAGAGGCTATAAATATAACTTACATTGTCATCACTTTCTTCAATACCAAGAGTCCAAATATATTGTCTGGTTGGAGAACCCACTATTCCTATTCCTCTAATCTCTCCCAGTTCTTTCATACCTCTCTGTCTTTGCACACATGCTAAGGCTTTCTCCTTCATCTCTATTTGGCCAAATGTCATTTATCCTTCAAAACTCAGTACCTCCTACCACTACAGGCCTATAGCACCTGGGGTATACATCAGTTATAACGTTTTCAGGGCCCTGTGTAATTGTGTAGGTTGTGCACTGCACAGGGCACACAGATGAGGGAGTAAGGGGGAGTTAAAATCCAGCCTGAGCTCAGCTGCTAAGTGAGCTCTTACCTGCCTAGAGGAGGACTCTACTAAATCTGCACAAATGTTGACCTTACAGGTTCATGTTGACTCTCAGGGTTGTTTGGATTGAAATCAGAATTTTACTGCTCCTCCTAGACTGTGAATGCATAAAAGGCAGGGACAGTGCCATGTTCACCCTTTTACCCCCAGCATCCTCAATGCCTAGTATAAAGTAGGAACTTCATATTTGTTTAATAGATCCTGAATAAATATAAGATATAAACAGTTCCTTAACCTCTTAACATCACAGTGATAACAAGTGCCAGAAATTTTTCTCTCACCTTTAGGTTGAAAAACATTTTTTAAAAGTCATACAGGAAAATAAATAAAACTAATATTAAGTCAGTCGCATTTGTATGCCAGGAATTTCACATATATCATTTCATTTTATGCTTCCAATAACCCTACCCATTAAGTCCTCTTAGTAGTGATCATACTTAACATACTTAATCAACATACTTAACAATCAGTACAACATAGGCACCCACCAATCAGAGTGGACACTGATAGAGCTCAGCTATAAACAACTGTTCCACCCATGCTGGTAAGTATCAACTCAATGTCAGCCCTGAGTATGTCATCCTCACATTAGAGATAGGCAAATGCATGCTCGGGAAAGTTAGATAATGTGTCAAGCTCACATAGCTAGTTAAGTGGAAAAACCAGGCCTACAACCTGGCTGATTCCCAAAACATGTGCTCTTTCCCCCATACCATGATACCACTATATCATCTGTATATAGCTTAGCAGGCTTGTGGCAGCTTCGCCTGTTTCCTGACATCTGGCGCAATGTCTATTCACTAGAGTACTTCACCTCCCCAAAGAGGAATAATCATAGTTTTTAACTCTGAAGTAATTACCTTGATTCCACAAGTCACACGCAACTACTCATGTGGCTTTATAGTAATGCTTCATATCTTAATAAATCTGAGTGGTACATTTTTATTACTTCATACATTGAAGGGGTTAGGAACAGGAGACAATTCTCGATTAAGGCTCCTGGCTCCCTTTAAATTTGCTAAAGTTAATTTTCTTTAAACTTGGACTAAATAATGTAGTTCCTTTCCACAATTATACCTCAACTGCTTAAGATTATACCCAATGTAATTTTGTTCTGTGAAAGTTCGGGGCAATACTTTGCATCCTACACATTTTACTATTGGTTAATGAATTCTAGCTTATTTCAAGAGATCATATGTTCTATGAACACATGTTCCTTTGGGGACCCTGTTATTTACTCAATCCTTGGACCATCCACCATATAGCCCTATGGCCAGACACTATACATAATGCCAAATCCCTACTAGGAATGAAAACACTGAACAGTGCTTGGTTTGTTTTGAGTTTGTTTTCCATTACAGCCCTGCGGGGAATTCTAACAAACTAGTTTATACTATTAAATCAGTTCTTCTCTGTAAAATAAAGGGGATTTTTTTCCCTTAGTTTAGTTTTACTGGAATGTAGTACTAACCTACAGACAATCTAATCATTCTGATTTGTGACCAAAATTTATTTCACTTGCAAGAAGACAGTGAACCTAAGGAAAGATTATCAGTTTTAAAATGCTTTTTAAAAGACATGCTTTCCCTTTTTTTAAAGCAAGACATGTTGAAATTGCTTTAGAACAAATCAATCAAACTATGAAATGCTTTATTTACAACTACATTGATGCAAGTACACATAAAAATATTGTACACATGCCTTCTGTAATATAAGTTTTGGATCCTCTTTCCATCTAAATCATGGGGCGGCATTCAAAATAATTAGCAACCAGAATGGCACAGACATAAGCCAATCAAAATGGAGGAGGCCAACCCTAGCCCTGAAGCAGAAGCCTAGAGTCCTCTGCTATGCCACAAAATAACCCTTTAGTTGTTGGGTAGTAAGAAGGTGTTGGGGGTCTCAGGAAGGGATCAAGTCAGTTGGGGTAAGAACGCATTCAAGAGGTTCAGGGAAGGAACTATTTACCAATCACTAAGTAGTATTCAGTATTTTAATAACAAGTTTAGCTGGTTATTAAATAATTGCCAGTATTGTTATATTCTAATTTATATTTTAATATTACAGTAATAGCAGTATAATTTAAAATAAACACTATGGTGAGTACCATCTAAAAATCAATCTGCCAGTCAATACACTGTACTCGAAATGTCCATCAATGCCTGCCAGACCCCAGGCCCGTTGTCCACCTACTCTACTCTTAGCCCCTACTGTCTAGCAGCCATGTTATGTATTATATTAGTGTGCCCTTCATTGGACACAGCCAGTGAGACTCAGGATGAATTCACAACTCAAGGGCCAAAAATCCACAAGCCAGTCAGCAACCTTTGACATAGCTGGCACAAAAATAAACTGGCCAACCAATCAGACTCCCAATCTTGGGAATTTTGAGTTGGGAAGCATGGAAAGATTCACGCATGGGGCATTAGTCCTTCCTGGCAGGAAATGAGAATTCAAGAGGTGATCACAGAAGTATCACTATATAAAAAGAGGATTGAAGGAGCTAGGGTTGGACACAAGTGGCAACAGTTAATCCCAGGTGAGTATGGACATCACAATCAGCATATGAGGAACAGTGGCAATCCAGGTGCCAGGAGGGATAACACAGGGAGACCTCTGTTTTTGAGTTTACAAATCAAGGGCTTCCAAGGATCATAACTGTCAGATGACCTAGTGAAATTCTCCTAGATTGAAACTACCATACAGCGAGACAACAAAGCCCACTTCAGCTCAACCACCAAAGGCCTGGATTCAAATTGGCACCCTAGAAACAGCAGTTTTCAAAGCGTGATTCCTGGACCAAGAGCATCAACATCACCTGGGAACTTGTTAGAAATGCAAGTATCTACTGAATCAGAAACTCTGGAGATGGAGCTCGGCATTCTGGATTTTTTTAAATTAAATTTAAATAATGCCTACAGCACTCATGTTCCCAGGGGGTCTCCCATCCAAGTACTAACCAGGCCCAACCCTGCTTAGCTTCCAAGATCAGGCGAGATTGGGCATGTTCAGTGTGATATGGCAATAGGCCAGTTTGAGTTTTAACAAGTCTTCCAGGTGATTCCAATCCAAGTTCGAGTTTGAGAACCAACCCCTCAAGTTGCCTTTGCCCAGAGTGCCAACATTACCTAGAAGTGTACTTCTGCTGCCCTCAGATCATCTCAGGGATAATCCTCCCAGAGGCAGATTCCCCAGTCAGTCAGATTTGCTGATGAAAGAACTCCTCTGCAATAGTTTATGCTTACTGGTTTCAGTATATAATTCATCATTCCCAAGCAGCTGCAAGGATGCAATATACACGCTGAACCAAAGACCATAAGCAGGCCCAGGAACTGAAGATTTAAGGATGTCCCCTAAAGGTTGCAGACAGAGACTGACAGGCAGCTTTTAATATGATTCTTTCATATGGCTTCTAGATGAAACCGAGTTGTGTCTCTCCTGGAAGCACATGTTTGTGGTTGAGGTGTAATAGGTAGGTGGTTTTAGGCAGAAACATCTTTGGTATTGTATATAGGAGAAAGGTCAGCGTACTAACGGGCAAGAAACAGACTATATGAAAATGTCAATTACTGCCTGTTAGTCCACTGCCTGCTTGCAACCTCTGCTGCTCTTGCTGCCAAGTTTTATATCACATGACCTCACCCTTTAGCCACAGGGTGTACCCCTGACCCAGTTGTAGCCAAGTCAGTCGAGTCACTTACCTACAATGTGGCCTGATGCAGAAGATGATCTATGCCCATATGATTTCTCCCATTCAAAAACGTGAAGGCGGCAGCAGTTAGAAATGAGAGTTAGAGTTTACCAAAAATGTCCTGAGGAAGAGAGGGATCTATGAAGGATCATGGCAAGAAAAAGTAACAATAAAAGCAGAACTCATGCACAAAATCAGTAGGCCATTGATTAGAGCTATGGACACATACAGAGAGAAGCAGGGATGCTGAGAGAGAGAATGACAATGACAGAGACACTGAGAGAGACATCATGTAGCCCCGGAGAGAGATGAAGAGCATAACTGCCTCGATTCCTGCTGGCTGATGTCCTTATAATAACCACCTGTTCTTATTTAGGTAGTCAGCGAGTTACTAGAGTGCCTGAGGAGAGAGCTATTTATATTTGTTTGAGTGTAAGAGCACGTGAGAGCAAGTAACAAGATGATAGAGACACAGAGCCAATGAGAGGCAAGGGCAATAAAATAAAGAAACAGAGACAGACTGTCCCTATGGATACAAAGCTTGAAGGGTATTCTGTCAGAGAAGGGGTCATGGCCACAACCCCTTCTCCCTAGGGTTTAACCTGAGGTGCAATTAAAAATGAAGAATGAATGAACAACTGAATGCATGAATACACAAATGAGTAAATAATAAATAGACAAGTACATTTTAAATGAATAAAGTTAATGACATTTGTCAGGATGGACAGAGATGACGACGGCCAAGGTCCAGTGGCAGAAAGAGCAACAAAGCTTCTGAGATCAAACCACTATGAGACCAGAAAGATGACTCAAGCATTTGAATTTCAAACCATTTTTGCTGGAACATCTTTGCCCAATGGTGGACTGAGTGGGGATCTCACTTAGGGACCAGTGACATGGGAGTTGAGACATTTTGCCCCAGAAACATTAATTTAGTCATAACAAGTAACAGGGCACAGTCAGTCCAGCCCCATCCATGGAAATAATGGCAATTATGGGATCACAAATCATGATAAGTTTGGTGGCAGCAAAAGTGACAGGAAAGCCTGTTCTGAAGCAAACAGCTTAGGTAGCAAAGGTAAAGGTCTCCTGCCTCAAAAAAGCTTGTCTGAGTTCTGACCCAGTGACAGAATAGGGGTGGTAGGACCGTCCCTGAACCTCAATAAATATCTTGAACCTCAGGGTACTCTCAAACAATACAGGGCATTTTGATCTCACTGCCCAGTTTTGGCCCCACTATTTTGACCACAAGGCCTTTTTTTGTTTTTTTTCCTGCATGTTGCTTTCTTCTTCTCAGACTATGAACCATTCTGGTTATAAGAACTCAACTTTACTAGAAGTTTAATTTAATACCCCTATTTGAACTTATAAGGATTTCTTTGAATGTATAAATAGGAATTTGACAACTTGAAAGTAGCTGAGCCCATGAGATGCTGAGCCCAACCCAAACTGCTAACCCACAGAATTGTGAGTTGCAAGTGGTTGTTTTAAGCCACTGAGTTTTAGGGTAGATTTTTATGCAGCAAAAGGTAACTGACATGGAGCCTGTCTGAAATAAAGCCAAACCAAGTGTAGTTGTCTTCAAAGCCTAAAGCCGAAAATTCTGAATGTGATTCTGAATGATTTCCTTCAGCACGGCAAATCCATATCCCCGCATCCTGAGAGATAAAATCACTAATTCCAGTTCTATGAGGTTTAAGCAGTCCAGCTTGGCATACCACAGCACCTACCTAGCATTGCAGAAGATCTCCACGTGAGGAAAATTATGGCATGCAAACTATTCACATATAGTCTACATTGCTTTTTTTAAAAACTACAAAATAAAAACAAATCGTTTAAAAACATAGTCCATCCATATTCAAATTTCAGTGTATGTGCATTTATAACAGCATATGAAAGTATCACATTTTCTCCCAGTATTGTAAACAGCAGCAAGTTGCCATTTCCCAGAAGACTCAAAATACTGTGACATCATGGTATAGTAAACCATTGTCTCAAGGATTCAAGTTCACTGATAAAGAATCTCACCAATAATCAAAAACTGTGTTAGAAAATAAGTCCCACATAGGTGATGTGATTCTCACAGAAAGTTATTGAGTTTGCATTCTATAATGGTACCTCTTTTGATACCTTCTGTATTAGTCAATGCTCCAGCCACATATCAACACATAATCAAGCACACACTAAAGAATGTACCTGGTTGCCATAGCTAAGCATCTAAGCAAGCATAGTGTCCATATTGACTTCCAGGCAAAGGAGTTAAAAGTTCCTCTCTAGTCTGCTCCCCAGCCTCCTACCCAAGTAGTGGAGGAGTGCTGACTTGATGGGCAAGATTCCTGGGCGCTGTTGAACCACAGTTTTTACTGGGTGGAGCCCTGAAAATATAAACAATCCCATACAGGTAGAAAGCCCCTTTCTGGGTTCATTCTCTCTGGGGCTGGTGGCTGTAACTTTTTTTTTTTTTTCTCATTTGAATGGCAAATTTGGAAATTTGACTTTGGCCTAAGGGAAATGCTAAGCTATTTATCCTGTTTGGGTTCTGAGTTCCACACTATCTCTACTCTAAGCTTCCTTGTGGTCAGCTTAGTAGAGTGCTGAAATAGAGTCTGGGGGTCAATGCCCCCAATGTTATTTTACTTCCTTTGCCACTCTTTAATCACATGTGTCTCTTGTGGAACACACCAGGGTGACAGGGCCAAGGCAGAATTTAAATATTCCCAAGTCACCCGGCCAATCACTACCATAATTCATCCCTTAATGGTACCTGGATCTCACCTCTGTCCCTGACACTGATATGATCTACAGGGCAACTGTATTCCCCAGGGACTGACATTTGGGGAATAAAGTCCCACAAAAGAGATTGAGGTTTAGTCCTCAAACTTGAAGCACTGCTGCTGCAGGGCCAGTGTATAATCTCCCATGTGTAAAAGGCAGGTGCTGGTATTGGTGTAAATATTCATTTTAGGAGCTAGGATAACCTTGTCCATGACTTCAAACTGCAGGAGCCACAAGGTTCTGCAGCTAGGTCTCCCTAAAATAAACAGAATTCCAGTGTGTGACATTTTTGGCCTATTGGATCATTAGATCCAAATACTCATACACCTAACTTAGATGACAGGCCTAGACTCTGTTCCTCTGAACTTTGTTTTAACTTGTATCCAGAGATAGAGAATAAACAGAATTCCAGTGTGTGACATTTTTGGCCTATTGGATCATTAGATCCAAATACTCATACACCTAACTTAGATGACAGGCCTAGACTCTGTTCCTCTGAACTTTGTTTTAACTTGTACTCAGAGATAGAGAATGATGGTCACATAAAATTCTGAGGTGTCATGGCCTTCTCTGAAGTTTTCTGAGTCCCTTCCCCACCATATGTTCTCATGTTGACTCTGATTCGGACATTGCATAAACCCTAATATAAGAATCTGTGGAGAAAAGATAGAGTTAAAAAAATAACCCTTAGTGATTTGCAAGGCCTAATCAAAAGACAAGACACACCCTGCAGTTTCTTTCCTGATCAGGAATCTTCAATAAACATCGGCCAAGAGTCTAATTATGGTTGTGGACTTTAGAGACCTCAGAGTGTGGATGCAATCACTGAAGGAAGGTAGAGTTCACTCATAAAAAGAGATTGAGACCTTCACTACATGGAGACAGTAGCTTACTCTCGGACTGAGGTGAAGAGTAAAAGTCAATGAAAGAAAAAAGATCAAAAGTCAACAGGGCATTAAATAATAACTATATGCAGAATGCTGCAGGGCATTAAATAATAACTATATCCAGAATGCCATGGCTTTGAGAATTGGGTCGACCTGGAAATAAAGGCCCTTGGTTAGGTTAGGTTACATTATAAGATAGGCTAGACTACAGGATAGGATGTGTTAGATTACAGGATACTTTAAATGAACTAAAAACTCTTGCCCAGGAGATAGTTATTGCTTTGGAAGTGGTGGGAAGCAAGCCAGGAAAGAATTAGAAAAGGAGGCTGGGTGTGGGGCCTCACACCCGTAATCCCATCACTTTGGGGGGACCAAGGCGGGAGGATCATTTGAACCCAGGGGTTCAAGACCCACCTGGGCAGCATGGCGAAACCCTGCCTCTACAAAAAATACAAAAAATTAGCCCGTCGTGGCAGTGCACACCTGTAGTCCCAGCTACTCGGGAAGCTGAGGTGGGAGAATCCCCTGAGCCAGGGAAGTCAAGGCTGCAGTGAGCCAAAATTGCACAACTGCACTCCAGTCTCAGTGACAGAATGAGACCATGTCTCAATAAACAAAACTAGAAAAGGAAGAAAGCTTGAGATCTTAGAAACCAGGATAGACATATATGAAAGGAGAAAAGGATATACCTACACAGATACAGCACCCAGATCTCAGACCCAATTGCAATCATTTCTCATGAAGGCAAAGGAAACCATCTACCTAACTGTAAACAGTGTAGCTAACATACATTAGGAAATAGTAGACGAAATACCATGACAATCTTAGTAGAAAGGGGTAAGTTATATTTCAGCAGTGATCTTATTGCCAGTACAAAACTAAATGCCAGTACAAAAACAAATGGCATTTGGAAACTTACAGTTGATTTCAGGAGAGGGCTGAATAATCCTACATGATGATGATGATGGTCACATAATAAATATTCTAGCAAAGGTGAGACCTTATGCAAAGATCTTTTCTATCTTGGATATAGCAAATAGGCTTTGAGCTCTACCACTGAAGGATATATGTTAATTCAAAACTATTCATGAAAAGAGGTAGACAGTTGTGAGATGAATAATGCTCACCATCAACCTCCCATAGATATATGGAGACTCTTGAAGACAGCCCACATAATTTGGTAATCCAATATATTGATGAATTCTAGTATATATATCACAGGAAGATCAGAAATTAACCAAGCATATCTTGGGGGCAATACAGACAGGGTTGAAAGTCAATGGAAAGATATAGCTTGGATCTGACTACAGTGGCCTAGATGAACGTTTCCTCAGCAGGAGAGCAATGTATCAGGAAAGGGACAAATGATCAAGTCACTAGGCCAACAGATGAAAAGAGCCTGTTATCAACAAGCTTTCGTAATGGTTGCATTACAGTAAGAAAGGCCAATGCTTGCTCCAAATATCTAAATGAAACACTGGTACAGGGAAGGAATACCAGCTAGCATGGAGAACACTTAAAAAGACAATAGCTTGGGCACCAGCTTTGGCCTTACCAAACACTTGAGAACCTTGTAACCTCTGCCTAATGATAATACCCAATACCATAGCTATTGGTGATACAAGAAAATTTCTTTTGTTAATTAGCTTCCAGAGGCCTGGAAGGCTTCTCTATCCTCTGTAAGGTAGCCTGGAAGAGCTCGGGGTTCCCAGTGCTGAATACCCTGATTCAGTCATACCACCCACTAGCTGTTCACAGAGGGAATAGAATTTATAAGAACAGATCAATAATATGCTATCCAGTCATTACTCTTATTAAACACCCTATGCTTTCTAAATGAATTACTAAGGGCTAAGAAGAGCTATGCACACAAGGCAAGTATCTTAATTTGAGTTCCCTCAGAAGCAAATGCTAATACAAAGATTCTAATTCAAGTCATTTATTCAGGAGCTGACATAAGGAAATACCTACAGGTGAGTAGGGAAGTGATACAGGGAAAAGAAAGCAGTTAATAGAGTGTGTTATCAAGACAGCCGCTACTGTGGGTGGTTGGAGCTTAATCCGGTGGGTAAACTCTGGGGAACTATAAATCACATACCTTAGTTACCTTGCTCAAGAGGTAAGAGAGTTGGGGTATTCCTACACCAACTCCCATCAGTTTTTTTATTCAGAGTCACTTCCAGAGGTGTTAATCCCTAGCTCTTCCAGCCTACCATGCGGAGGGTAGAGAAGCCTTCTAGGCCTCTGAAAAAGCCTTCAGAAAGAGACAGTGGCAAATAAAAATCAGTTGGAGCACACAGAAATAATAAGGCTGAGGGATAGGTGACAGGACAGTTAGTATTAGCTATGTGTATTTCAACCACAGAAAAAATCTTACTCCGGTCTATCAGGCAGGATGGCTTGGAGAGATGAAGGAAACATGAGATGGAATATGCAGAGAAGTTGGAAATTGGTAACAACCTGAGGATTTCAGGAATTGGTAAGAACACCTGGAGAGAAAGACATGTGGTGGCCTTGAAGCTGGCCTGGACTCTTAGCTGCACTGGCTACTGCACCATAGAGGGGAAACAATAGACCACAGTGGGGACTTTTGCCAATAATTGGGAAATAACAGCATTTCATTTTGATGACAGTAGATAGATTCACCAGTTAGGTAGAGGCTTTTCAAACCAAACACCTAGCAACTAAGATAGCTGCAAATATTTTAGTTCAAAAATTTCTCTTAACTGGGAGTCTTAGACAAAGAACCAAATTTGGAAACACATTTCATGGGAAAACTGTGTAATCTGACAAGTATCCAAGTATAGCCTAACACTCGTAGGCTAGGTAGCCAGAGAAAAACACAGAACTATACAATAAAGCCATACTAATGGCTATGATAAAAAACAAGAGATTACTGAGCTCACCACCTGCCTTCTTTTGATTCTAAGGAAATTAGAGCCTGAGTAGCCAATGAATCAAGACAGAGCTTTACAAGGACCTCTGTGGAAGATCTAGGGTTGTTGGGAAATTCATTCACTGCTTATCTTTTACAGATAGAGGCCTTGAGTGAAGGAAGCCACTCAGGGTCTCTGTTTCTGTGCTCACTTTCCTCCTTGTACATTTTCCAAACAAGGAATCAGGTTGGGTCAGATTCCAATGTAATCCACTGGACCATTTTTGCTGGTGGGCAGAGTCATTATGCTTTATAAGACTGCATTCATGTATATAGCACTCTCTTCTGCTTCCTCTGGCCTCCATACAGCTGACATAGTAAACTGACAATCCAGATTTATCTCCCCAACATGGCAGCCATGTCTAGGCCACTTGTTTGAAATGGGATTTCTTTGTTGGGACTTTTACATTTTCAATGGGAGTTGAATTTCTCTGAGGAAATTTCACAATAAGAGGGGTTTCATATTCAGACTTGAGGCATTTTATATTTCCAAGATGTTACTATTTGGACTAAGCTATCATCTGGTGTTCACTGTATGGGTCTGTTTGGTAGGCTAGGTTCAACAATGTAGCTATACATACTTTAAGATGAGAAGTAGAATAGGTGATGAATTTTTCACTAAATATATAGTGTGGTCTTTAAGTTAAGTCCTGAATAAAACTATTTCACAAGTTTCTAAGGATGACATCAGAAGCATCCATTGAAGGCCCTGGGGACCTGAATTTCACATCTCTTTGGTCCAAGAAAGACTCATAACAGCCATGATATGGAACAGGGAAATGGCTCCATGAAAAGAAGAACTTACCTGCAGATTTTCTCCCCTAAGGTAGAGAATCACATATTAGCTCAGCTACCTACCCCTTTGGATTACCAGAGAAAGAATGAGAATTAGAGATTATTAAATGTCCGTGTTGGGGTTCAAAGACCCTAACTGTGCAAGCTCCCACCCGCCATCTTCACTGCTCCCTAGGAAAAGAAAGGCTGAACTGACTGATCAGAGTCCAGACCCTTATTAGGCTGTTTTCTACTGCGTACAACTTGGGGTTATCAGTAAAAGTCTCTGGTATCATTTTCCCCAGCACAGACGACTAACTACAGCTATTCATATCATTGGAGTAGAAAATTCCAAGGTTAGATTTTGGGCTGAAGAGCTCTGGAGTTTGCAGCCAAAGCACCAGCTAGTGAAGTATTACTTTGCTCACCTTAACCTCCCTTCCTTACAAAAAAGGCAGTTAAGCCAAGGATAGATTTGGGTATCCCTGGGTCCCCTAATATCGTCCCAATCTTGTCTCTTAATAGAATCCCAATTTTACCCCAACCCCCAACAGGGTACAAGAGTCTAAGTGCTAATAGTGGAAACAGTAAAAATAATCCAACCAGAAACATGGCAGTAAGAGATATAAAATCCGGACAATGAATGGAGACTTAGAAGAGTCCCACAGACAGTCGGTTGTTGTTCTAGAAGATCTATTCCTCTGTTGGAGAACCTCTATGAAGATTGAGGATGTGAAGAATGCTGACTTACACTCAGGGGCTACCCAGAATTTGCTAGTAGTACACTAAAGAGAGTCTGATAGGAAATGCAAAAAGATCTTGGAAGGGGGAAGAGACAACTCTTTAGTGGTCCAAACCTTGTTTTGGTAACTAACATTATCCTGCATTCTCAGCTTTACTTATTTGTTGTGTATTTCACACTAGATTCAGATCCATTTTCCCTGCTCTCTTACAATCTGACCCAGACTCTGATTAATTCCACACTAAAAGTTTCATGTAATAGACCCAGGTTCATTCCTGAACTGACAGTCTCTGTGACAGAGGCAGTAATGTAAGACGTTCCATTTATTTCCCTACATTTGCTAGCCCTCTTTCAGGTATATAGGATGACAGGACTACTTTGGTGGCAATGAAATATAAGTGGATGTGACACATGTCATTTCTGGGCTGAGGCAGTAAAGAGCCTAAGTGCCACATGTTCCAGACGTTGCAGCCACAAAAGAGCAGAGCCTTAGTCATCCTGGAACCTTGAGTTACCATGTGGAGCAGATCCCTTCCCATTCCCACATCCCTCTGTCCTGCATGAGATATGTAGTGTGAGCAAGAAAAAAACTCTTGGTGTATAAAACCTCTGACACTTTTGAGATTGTTACCTGAGCATAACTGTATTAGTGACAAACGCAGCCCCCCTTCTGCATGCATAGTGCTTATTTCATACTCTAAACTTAATTGTTAATAATTCTACATGTTACACCCAGGCCCTTCTGAACTGGCTCTATGGGACAGAAGATCACACACAAGTCAGCAAGCAAAGCTTTAACTTTGAACCAAATACACAGTAGTAAACAATACAATTCAGTAAACACAACTACTTTCTACTGCACAAAAAAACAGGAAATAATTAAATTTCTTATAGACATTTCTTTATTATATTTTC